AAGTGTCAAAATGTAAACAAGCAAATATTTAGACTTCCATACAAAATGCTAATTCACTATAACTGCACTTAATTCAAAAAAGCATCAGATGTCACGAAAAAGATGGTTTAGGTAACCTACCAATTGAAATGTACACCAAAGTTAATAAGCTTCTGACATAAAATAAATAAGTAAAAGCATATCTGAGGCATAATGGGTCTTTAATGCAGGCGTCACACCGTCCCGAAATTGACACAAGATGGGCATACGAATATGAAATTTTTAATTTCGTGCGAAGATAGCCCTGAAATTGGTCGACAGTCTCTCAACAGCCGAAACAAGTACGATTCCTACAGAAGGTCACGCGATTGCATCCGAGCCACACACGATTCCTACCGAAGGTCATGCGATTGCATCCGATACACACACGAAGTTACCTCAATGATGCAATTTTGTACCGAGTAGTTTACCAGCAGGACACGCGAAAGTCACAGGATAGGTACACGACGTCGTATTTTGAGTACGATGTCTTCGTACGTGGTTACGAAGGCGTCAAGTGACCTTCACCTCCAGTTGGTATACAACCCACGGCCAACAGCGACAAATTTCAGTTTCAGATAGTATCGGTAGCTAATTAAACTACGTTTCAACTTTATTTTGGCTGTTCATATTACTATAAAAAACAATTCTATTCACACAAAAATCTATGATAAAAGTGATGACTTTGACTATGGTATAGTAAACTATCCACATTTAGTTGGAGACGTACCGCATGCAATATCTGAGGGGTATATGTATCTCAGTAAATTAGATTCGCTAGAGCTTTTAGCAACGTGAAGGATTTTAACAAGCCAAATATTTTCATTACTAGCAAGCTACTCAAACAGGGCTACCGCTATTACAAATTACGTAAATATTTTACAGAGTTTTACAATCGTAACTTTGATTTAATCTCAAAATTCAGTAGTGATTCAAAAATGATTTTAATGGAGATGTCATTGTAATTTTCTGTGGCCTTTACTCAATTATTAAACGTTTAACCAAAAGAGGTTTTGACCCTACTTTTTTTTAGATATACCGCATGCTTAGTGTTCAACACTTTAACAGTTGGTCCTTTCCTCTTTTGATTACATCTACGGACCAACTATACCGCATGCTTAGTGTTCGACACTTTAACAGTTGGTCCTTTCCTCTTTGTATTACATCTGACAGACCAAGTGGGATACGCTATGATGGACAGTTCTTAATGCTGTTTGGGACTGAATTGCCTTAATGTTCGTCTTCTGCCTTTCTTCGTCGGGCCCTTGTAGGTGATTTTTTTGTTACTCTGTCTTCCTTTAAAAAATTGAGTACTTTTGTTATGGTCATATGGGTATTCCTTTATATGTATCTACATGATCATTTCGGTGTTCACTTATTTTACCTTTTGAAACCATAACAACTGTTATACATTTACTTGTCGGGGATTCATTTTATTTACACCGTCTCGTTTATAGAAACATGGTGGGCTAAGAGTGGGGTTTGGTGCACCATTAACCGGTTTAAACACCCCAGTAGTACTTGTGCTGCTGACCGGTCTTTATTCCTCAGATGCACGTTTTTGTTATTTTATTGTTTTGGTGACACTTTTGCCGTTGTCCCTTGTTGTTTTCTCGTCTACGGTAAGTATTTTCCTTTTTGCTCGTAGTTTTATTTATTTAATAAAACAATCAATCAATCATTTATTTGTTTTCTGCGCCAAATGTTTTTAAAAATGTCTGTGGTCTTCAAGCACATGGATATTTACACGGATATGTAGCTTTAGAATGAAATATGCCTTAAGAGAGCCAGTGTAGAAATACAACGTGACCGTGATGTCATTACGGTATCATTTCTAAGATAAACATTGCTCGATTCGAATAAAAATAGTCTTAAGTTTATCAATTATGCACCAATTAATTTGGGACATGCGCCAGTCTACGGGAAAAAATATACGATTGCAACAGAATATGGGATCTTCTTCAGTTTATGAGTCGTTTCATCAAACACTTTGTAGTTGTTTGTAAAGTCCGCTCGACTTCAGTTAGTTACAAGCTATCTGGTTTTCTTGCATTATCTGTTCTTTGCCATGATAAAAAAATCAGGTTTACACAACCGAGGATACGGAAGGCAAAATCCCACCAAACTAGATTTATACATTTACTATTTCGCAAATACATTTACAGGTTAAGAACGATAATTGAATATCCCCCAAGCCTGTATCAGGTTGTTTGGGATATTGTATCAAGCCCATCATTGCATGTCATGAATGATTTGCTACTTATAATACAATAAAGTTATTCAAGCCTGTTGAAAAATCATTTTCCCCATTGTACAAGATCGCTGTTATCTGATGCATGCTTGTTATGGATAAATAAAATAAAACCGTCTTTTGATTTTGTTTAACAAACATACGTTTTCAAATTGAATAGCAATAAATTCTTTAGGACCTAGGTAAAGGTTTTGGAATCGGGGCATCTTTCTGTATCTGTACCTTGCACTATTCTTCAAAATCTAAAATGGCTAATACTCTTCTGGAGGACTCCCCCTATCAATGAGCGTGTATTAATAAATTCAATACAATTCAAATACACACACAAGGAACACATACGAATGAAGATGTGAATTACAAACCAACTTTTGGTAGATTGTTGGGGATTCGCGCAACAAGGAGCTATCAGCTGTTTAACGAAAAATAACAAAAAACCAATTACGAATAGTAGAAGGTAGTTGGTTATTCGAATATCCAACTACCAACTACCTAGCGAACTGCATTCATCCATCATAAGATACCGAGTCCTTTTCATCATTATTTTATTTTAAAGACTATTTTTAATTGAAGGTCTGCAGGCGTAAAGTAACATCTAAAATTAGTCATGTACAAGTGTTCTTTTTCGTGCGAATTACTATTTCTGTATGTGTAATTTTACGCAATTCAAACAATGTTCTCAAAAACCATAAAACGTAGGAAATGCACTTGGTATTGGCATTTGAATTTTTTTCTCTCAAAACCATAAAATGTAGGAAAATGCACTTTATACTGGCATTTGAAGAACTTTTGCGCGCATATGATACGCTAGGTTTTATTTGGATTCAAGAAACGTTTATCACCTTAATGTAATATAATAAGGGGCTCATCACTCGCCATTTTCGCATGGGTATTACTATACAAAGTCACGTGATTCCCTCCCGTGGTGCAAGTAAAAATTAACGACTTATATCAAAAAGAAAACACAAAAGTAACATTGCTTTTGGAACACTCCTTGTGTGCCATGATTAAAAGACATTTTCACATCAACCGTGAATACCGAAGTCATAAACCTACTTTTTTATCTTAACATTATTACAATTTGTTTAATCCTTTTCTTCAATTATCAATTAAAGCACCAGATCAAAGTGAAAAAATAAAATAAAATAAACTGAACTACCGAAAGGATTCAACGCAAAAGTCGCAAATCCAAAGGGAAATCTTCACGTCAATATTTTTGTAAAGAGTTACTTATATGTATATTAACATAGATACAAGGAAAAGTGGCAATGTCTTGGTTATCGGGATGTTTTTCAAAAAGAGCGGTGACCATTTGTTAAAAATGCCTGCCTGTCATTCATGGGGATTGTAGATTCGAGAATTTCCAGGGCTAGGACTATTTTTCTCCACCTTGTTTGATTTCATTGGTATTCTGAATTTTCATTTTAGAATTCCTATGGTAAGAGATGTTCAAGTATAATTATTGTAAATCTAAGCCTGACATTGACCTGCTGCTAACCCTAGAGTGAATGAGAGAGAGGGAGAGAGAGAGAGAGGGGGAGAGAGAGAGAGAGAGATGGCAAAAATTGTAATAATCTACTTTTCAGTGAATTAGTCTGAAAGTGAAAACATATACTTCGCATAGAGTACATTTCATCTTGTATCATCAGTATTATTTAGAATACCTTTAAGACAGTTTAAGATTGTTTTTTGAACCAAAGAATATTTACGCCAAGTTTTGTCTTTGAAAGGGTATTTGAAATTTTCAAACTTGATGAAAGAATAACATATTTCAAATCAGGTATATGTTTTTATATACATCACAACAATAAAACAATGGAATTTTTAGGTATAATATTTTTTGTTTTCAACTCCATATAATTTTATATGCGATTTTCTGCAATTATATTTCATAACCGACTTTTTAAGCAAATTATTTACTCTTTGAACTTGCATAAGTAAAGAGTCAGTACGTTAAAGCTGAAAAGAAGTTAAGAAATTAAAAATGTTTTAAGATGGTCAAATGTATTTAACCAGAAAGTGTATGAAACAATTTGCATAAAATTCACGAGAAAAAAAGTAACTTTCAATCACACATAAAATTTGAATTTGTCATCGGCAAATTTGCCTATGTATGTAGTATGCACATCGACAACTTCAGCACTAAACACAGTCATATCAGCTAAATTCCGAACAAACACTTATTTATCTTTTGTAAGGATCAGTCATCATATTTTCTTGGGCCATCATTAATGCAAACAGCCCAAAGATGATTTTAATCCACTGCGACAAACATGCAATATAATAGAACAAATTTTCAAAAGATACTTGTAGACTGACTTGATGCTGATTTTTATATTATTTATCAATATATTCTGACGTTAGATCATACAAAATGTAAAAATCTCTAATCTTATTTGGAGCTCTGGCCTTTTCCATCATTGGCTATCATAAATTGTTCTGTCAAAGGACTTTCATGTTAACGAACGTTTTTAGACATGTTTCGTCATTAGGCTACTTATTCTCAATGTCCAGCCACCATTGTAAAGGCTAAAATTCAATGTGGGAAAAAGTGTCAAGTCAGGAATGGTAACACGTTGAACATAATACGTAATATAGAATTTACCCTGTAAAATCATAAGGAAAAGCCTTTATCGTATTGTTTGCACTTATTGTTTATATTCTCTATATACTCCGGTAAATTAAGGTTCTTAATTTGGGACCCATATTTGTAGTTCTGATAGCAAATAACACAAAAAGGCAAACATTTTAATTGCTACTATATTTACATACATTTATGACATTTTTATTCACGGCAAAATAAGTTTCCATAACTAGATACTTGGTACGAGTTTTTAAGTTCACATTGTATTTTCATTCAGTTCCTTGTACAATCCATAATTTTAACAAATGCATGTATACATATTAAATTGCAATGACTGTCATTTGTGCAGGAATTGTAAAACATATTATAACGCTTTGAGATGTTCATGTAATCATTTTCACCTTATTGATGTACCACCCCATCAGCATTGTGTGAATGCAGTTGAGCCATTTGAAGATAGGATTTCAGGGCAATCAATACGGGAATCGATTCCTTCCAAGTAAAATGATCCCTTTGCTCAAAATTGACAACAGGAAACACTTTTGATACTGGAATAGCTAGCTGCTTTGCTGTGAGGTCAACAGCCTTTTCTATTATCTTACATCGGAAAATTGCATCGATACTAAATTTAACTTTCTCTGAAAGTATATCCGCCTTTGTTAGAACAGCCATCACAGGAATATCTAAAATAAAAGATTTTACTGTTTGAAATTGTGATTGACAAAATATAAGATCTACTCTTGTCATTCTTTAGAACAATATTTTAAAGACAATGATTAATTAAGATTATTTTGTTAAGATAACAGTCAAGTATAGTTAAGTGCTTACTCTGTAACACACATATTTTGATAATGACAAGCGTGGATTTGAATAAGAGAATGGAAAAGTGTTATAATTTACTAGTAGGCAGAACACATTTTGAAGAATTTCTCAATTGAATACGTTTATTTATTAGTTAAAAATATGTATTTAGATATATGTATATACGAGGGGTTATCCAACAATTCGTGGACTTTCTTTGTTGTGTAAAATATATTTGAGATATTAATTTGAAATTCTTACACTGCTTAGAAGAATAAATAACAAATATACACAGAAAAATTCATGTGAGTAGGTTCTTACAACAATATTTAATTTTACATAAACACATGTCGGCGACAGCGGCGCACTCCAAAATCTTATTGACGTCAACGTCATAATATTAACGTACAGTTTGTGCTACAATGTTACGCAGTCAATGACGGTTACTGCTTCTCAAAGAAATGTCCATCACCAATTTTTTTTTATGCCACTTTAACATTAATTACCGTGAAATTTTCTTTTCTTAGTTCGTCTGCTGATTTTTATCAAATGTTTTTGTAGGTATCACTCCAAATAACAACACAAATTATGATCGTTTATGATCGTGCGATTTTCTAATGACCGCGTTTCCGTCATTTTCAATAAAGGCGTCTGGCGCTTCTGGCGATATCAACAAAAATAAACAGAAATGACGCCCATTATTTTAAATAATTACTTAAATGACATCATAGAAAAAAACATGCGATGTTCAGTGGTTTTCTACGTTAAGTTTTTAGCAAGAAATATACGAAGACTTACTGCCGGGTGCCGTGTATGTGCTTATTTCAAAGCAATATAAAATCTTAATTTATTGACACAATTAACTGTTCCTTTCAAAATGAGTTGATAATATTCTACAATGTATGCTGATTAATTTTCATTACAATACACGTTGACGTTCAAGAGATATTTAAAAAGTCCTAGAATTTTTGGATAACCCATCGTATGTTACCTGTTGCAAACTTGTACTTTAAGGATTTATGGATTCTTATTTTTTTCAGACAAGCTTATTGTTATAACTGCGGGGTTGAAACTATCTTTTGATAAAATAAGTTATTACAAATATCATAGTTTTACTTGTATTTAGTGTCATAATAGTCAAGTAAAAAAACGTTAATAGAACTTTTCAAGTATGTGTAGATTATGATTGGTTGGAACTGGAAGAAATGTTTCATCAAAAACGTTTGGAAAGTGAGCATTCTGTATATAACCTTAATCTATCATTTGTAGTTTGAAAATTGAAAGTTACGTTTTTGAAAAGTAGATCTGAAAAAGTGTTAGATTTGAAAATCAATCAAATAAAAACAAATGTCAACATTAAGTGCAATTGAAATTACACCATACACTCATTGTATTTTCAATCTTCTCTTCAAAAGACGACCAAGAAATGTATAAGGGTTATTTTGTTTTGTATCAGTTGTACGATATTATCAAGAGTTGGTAAATATATTCCACTGAACATCTTAAACGCACTATATCAGAGTGTCAAAGCCAAGAACGAAAAAAATGAGGTATTGCTGAAAAGCAAGAGAAACAATTTTCCATTTTTGTGGGTTTGATACATATTACTGGTTTCGCCAACTTAATTGTCGGCGTAAGTTAACCTTTTCGTTCCGGTTCATTCTCTCAGTAACAATTAAAGTCATTGATTTCAAATTTAGTGTACAATTTTTATTTGTCATAACAGAACGCTATATCAGAAGGGCAGTTAGTCGCTAAAAACAATTTATGGGCAAAATTATCATCCCTTTTATTATTTTTAGAGCACCAGTTTACTCAGCCTTTATACTAGAGTCAGGTATTGGTTTGAGAAATATTTCTAGAGATTCTTTGTTCCCAAGTCTTAATTATAACATGTGTATCAAATATAACAGCATTGCAAGAAGAAAAGGGTGGAAGTGGACAGATAATAACATAAGACAAGAAAATAAAGAAAAAAAAAAAAATGAAAGAGGCAAGTGCAGATAACATGGGGTAAAACCCATTTTCCAAAAAAATGAACGCCCTTTTGTGTTGTTTTTCTCTCGGTCAATTATTTATCAAATATCAAAGTTCACAAGGGCACTAATTTTCGAATACTTGTATTTTTATAAATTGCATTTTTGTTGCGCCAAATGATATTAGGAGATATCTTAAGTGTTCCTTTTTCTGAGTAAATTCTTCCAATTCTCACTAGAACATCGAATTGTCTTGGTTAACAATTACTGCTGCAAGGTTAATTAATTTCTCAAAACCATTCAAAAGATATTCATTTTTAAACTTAGAATACTTGTTCACTGTCAATTTGGGCTTCTTAATCTTAGACATCTTAGAAGAGAATACTTGCCTTTTCCTTAAAAACTGTCAAAAGTATTTCATTGTACAATTGAAACGAAACGTAAACTTTCAGAAAGACTTAATATATTATCGATTAAGATTATGTGGGAGTATCTGCAACGCAGAAACGATAATGCATTGTTTGACATATTAGTTCCCATGCGCGCCATCAGCGTCATATTCATAATTTGGTGTTTTTGAGTTTGTGTCTGCTCGTGTCTCCCCCGTTGATTCGCCTATCTACTTTGTCGCTAACGTTAGCGACCAACGACGTATGTTTCACGTTGTTTGGAGATCATTATATTCAGTAATGCAGTACTGACCTCTTTAACAGTCATAGAGAGAAGAAGACTAACTAATCGAAATTGATCTCACGGATGTAAATAAAGCAATATAAAATAGGTTGGAGTAGAGTAATTGAACTGGCTAACTAAATTTCTCACGCTCGTTAATAAAGTGCTTCCAATTTAATATCGTCTCTCTGTGACAATACATAAATGGTATTGAAGCATTATGACTCAAATTTAATTTGCGTGACTCGTAGGCGTTGTTAGAAGTCTAGTACAACAGTACAAATTTTTTCACTAGTAGGATTCCTTCATCAATTTTGCTCAATATATTGGTAGGATTAGTAAATGTATAACAGCGCAATTAATGTGTTTTAGCCGCATTTCGCAGGTATTACTTTTTGGATTTGAATGACAAGAATTGGAATTTAACTACTTATGTTCTATTTTTATCTAACTGTTGCTCTAGCCACTGACGTGTCGAAAGACTCCATTGACAGTCTCAACAATTCGATAGACGTTCATGTGCACGGAAACTTCACGCTAGGCGGGCGCACACGCATACATATATTTTATTCGCAGTCATAACAAGATTCAGGACTAGTATACTTGTTCAATATTACGAATATATAGAATCTAAAATTCTCGGTTTGTAACGCCCTGTATTTACCTGAGTTAATTGCTAGTTTGGCAAGTACATCACATCTATTATGTGCTTCTGGTTAATCCAATCAGTGGTTATCACTTCTCTGGAGTACATAAGGATATAGTTCGTACACGAGTTTAGGGTACGCATATGACTGTAACAGTAAAACGATGAAGGCGCGTATTTTCGGTCAGAATACTCTGTATATGGATTTCTGATATTAGGATCTAATATGGAGATGCTCAGAGTTCCTATAGATAAAGGCTAATGCACAACATGGTGGCACTCCTCGCTTCTTTATTAACGATATGTAGGAGGTATCTATTCGCTCAATCTTCCACTACTGTGCATGAAATGTTGTAGACGCCAGCATGATAAAACAAATCAGGCCTTTAGAAATTCTCTGCATCCACTCCAATACAGACATACACGGGGCCTCACGCTAATACTCCTATTTCTGATAGGTCATTGGTCTTTCTTTAGAGAAGTATCGAGCTCGCTTGCTTTTAAAGCTCAGAGCAGGCATGGTTATACGTCACAGTACGTTAATCCTGTTAAAGTAATACTAGTTATCGGACAGGTAATTTAGAACTAGTAAAAGACAGTTTTCAAAATATCCTCGTCAGACTAATTAACAACTAAGTCTATTTAATTTATAATGTATTTGAAATAGGAAATTCAAAATTATGCAAACACATGACGTTGCCTCTAAACTATCATCATTTATACTTGATAACTTTCTACACTCGAGTATTATTTATTGGGCTGTAGGAAGAAGTAATTCATATCACCATGATTATACTTCTGTTATCATACTCAGTTACATGTAACTTGTCGTTATATTTGCGGAGTGAAATGTTCTATACAGAATTTTTTCCTTCATTCAAGTATTACCGCTCCACGAGCACGGAGATAGCTCGAGATTATATTACTAACATTGTTGAATTTTATTATCAGTACATCATCACTATTAATCATACAAGGACACAGGACTTATTTGCATTCTATATTACTTATTTATTAGATATACGCATATTTAATAACAAGATGGGCATAAACTAGAACGTACTGTGTGTAAATAACGTCATATTTATCTTTAGTTGTCTTGATGTGCTTATGTTATTACTGTTAAGTATTGGTGTAATTTTCTCACTTCATATAAGGATATTGATCACTAGAATAGAACCAATGATGTTGTGGCAATCAGTGGACTTATGTTTCATTATATAAAATAGTTACAACTTCTTATATTATTATCTATATCTCATTGTGAATATTTTTAGAGATTATGTATTTGTAAGTCATGGATGAGAGATTGCTCATGCATTGGCGAGAACTCACGAGAGGACATCAGTAAAGACTAGAGGACATGGCATAAAAGTCTATTGAATAATACCCTTCAGTGCTTAGGTTTTCGGAGGACACACATAGGGAGTTGATAAATACAAGGAGAATAATGGGAAAGTTTACTAAAGAGACTTGTTTCGTAGATAACGATCAGATTATCACGAGAGTATCGGATAAGTACGTGATTGAGAATATATAACATATAACTCATAAAATCAAGTTTGTACGTGATATCCCAAGTTACATG